GGCCGGCCCGGCACAGGGCAGCCCGGGGGAGCTCCGGCCGCTGCCCCGGGAGCGGGCGCTCTGATGCCGGGGCTGCTCCGGGAGCGCCGCCGAGCTGCTGCAGCCTCCTGAGGGGGCTGCTGGGCGGGAGCGCTCAGGCTCGCCTCGGCTGAGCCCGGAATTAGCGAGCGACGTTTTGACTCCTGTTGAAGTAGGACTGTGCTCTCACACGTAAACACGTGCATTCGGCTTTTTTGTTCTTCTGTTTTCCATTCTTTTCCCCCCGAACTTTATCTGTTTTGTAGTCTTCGATCAGCATCGTTATGAAGGGCAAGTCATCGGGGGTAGCGAAGGTAATAGAGCAAAATAACTGAAATGAGGTGTGGAGTCCGTAAAGACCAATATCCCCGTTTCCTCTTTCCATGAATCAGCTTAGGATAGAAACCCGTTCAGACATATCCCTTGAAACATGAGCACTAGTTAAGCATGGAAAACTTGGGGAAAAAAAATCTGTCAATCTGTGCAGCCAAGCTGGTGCTTGAGAAGCACTGCCTTCCAGGAGAGCAGGACTACATCCTGACTTCTAGGCCATCCACTTACAGCTTCACTTTCCCTCTAGGGAGGAAAACCAGTGCCTGTTTCAGAGGCTTTTTTGGGCCGTAAGTTTGGTCACTAGTAGTTACTGCATGGGATTTGTCAGCCAAGGATGTGCTGGCTTTCCTGCCAATCTTGTGCTCACAGGCTGTAGTCTGGCTGCTGGACTACGTGATGGTGTGTGCTGGCCAAGCAGAGCCTTATTCCAGTGGACAAAGCCTCATCTTCTCTTTTGGTTATAAGTTTTTCTCTTTTCACTCCTCCTGCCAGTCAGGTGAGACCCAAAAGGCAAAACAGAAACCTGTTGAGTTGTTCAGTATCCTCACCTATGCCATTAGTTTTGCCAAAGGGTTCCACTATGAGAGTCTATGGAAGGTACTTGAAAGAAAATCAAGAGCTTTCACTGAATTTTACAAAGTGTTTTCTCAGATACTGAATTGATATTTTTTCTTATTTTTTTTCCTCCAGGTGATAGCAGGCTCAGCCACTTCAGTTTTTTCTGAGTCATAGGAAGGTTTAATAGTTGTCTGTAATAAACTAGGCTGGGTCTGGGTTTTGTTGTGGGATTTTTTTTTTGAGTTTTTTTGAGTAGAAACATTAGAAAATATATTTCTGGTGCTTTTCTTTTTGCAAATTAAATTGACGTCAGTTTCAAAGCAGAACATGGAAAAATTAACTTCTGATGGTACTAGTTCTTAAAAATATATTCCGTTGTTCTTAGTTAATTGCTAAGTATGTTATAATATGGGTTTGGTCTCAACCTGAATTTTTTCCTAACCACTAGCATGAAAAAGTGAGATTATTGAAATTAAAAGGTCACTTCCCCTCCTGTTTAGGTAGAGTTCAGCAGTTAAAGCTAAGTGCAAGTAAACGCTGTACGTGAACAGTGTTGCCAGGCTTTGCTATGTCAGTATTAGATTGTTGGAATAAATTAAATTAATATTTGAAAAGTTGTATTTAATGTAAGTTAAAAGTTCACATTAAAATGACAGGATTTAGTAAACTAATTGCCAGTAAAGATGTTAGCTGTGTGTTAAATTTTCTTTAATTTCTTCCGATATAGACTCTGTTTGTATTTTAGTATCTTGGTGTATTTTTTATTCTGCATTTCACATGGAGCCAAGGAAAGCCAGCCTGAGTTTCTCATGATGTTGAGAGCTGCACATTATTCAGTGTTCACTTTAGAACACTTTGTGGCAAACTTTTGTACTCTAAAGAGTTCCAAAATTACTTTAGTTTTGCTCAAAACCGTAGATACAGCTAGCTAAGATAGGGTGGCTGAAGGGAGGGGAGGAATAATTACTTAGTAGCTTGCTACCAAGCATTAAAAGCCAACAATAACCCCCTGCCCCCCCACTGTAAAACTAAAGGCCTTTTCAGACCACTTACCTTGCATCATCTGAGACTCCAAAGTGAATTAGTCCTCTCCAATGCATTAAAAAAAAAAAACAAACCCAAAAAGCCCAGAGAGGATTAAGTTCTGGCATGGAAAAGTTAATAATTAATATATTTCAAAACCCAATCAATTTTTAATGAGAAAGTCACTGTCATCGATTTTCATATCAATACCAAAAGGAATGGAAACTTGTGTCTTTAAAGCATTTTTCTCAGAAGAAATTGTCTTGCAAAATGCAAACAGTAGGATTTAAAGTTTGCTCTCATTTTACAGAGGATGAAATGTATTTTTTTAAGATAAGCTGTGAGCCCAGTGCATCATGCCAGGCGCATGGCGATGTCTTCTCAATTTGAAGAAATCAGTTTTGACGTTCTGGCAAATGGTGTGAAGGGAAACCATTGCTGCTTCCTGCTGAGGTTTCCACCTGGTGTTGTGGAGCAGTCAGGGCAAGAGGCTGTCACACACAGCTGAGAAAGCTGCCAGGTATGGAGCGGTTTGGGATTCACAGAAGACATTTTTTGAGGGCAGCCTTCCACTGTTGGTGGACTAAGTCTTTCTGTGTGTTTTTTGATGTTAACATTTTGAATCTGTTCAGGCAAGAAAAAAACTCCTTGAATTAAAGTAGACAAAAATAGAGAAGGGCATGAGGTGTGGTGAAGCCTGCTTGCTTTGTCAGAGGCCTTTGTTACAGTAGAAGTAAATGCTGTAGCACTGCCAAGACATACATTAACTAAGTAGCAATGATTGTTAGCGCACTAACCACAGAGAAAACAGTTCTGGAGGTTCTGGACCTGCCTCTCTTCCCAAATGCAGAAATTCAAGGAGATGATAATTCCTTAGGTACTTTAAACTGGGGAAATTTGGTTATTATAAAAGCTGGGCACCAGCTTAGTGGAGTTACTCCACTGCAAGGGGGCAGATGGGTCTGTCTGGTTTTCAGCAAATGATGGTTGAAGCAGCTCACTCAATTGCTAACAAATTTGAATGGCAGCAGGTTTTCCCCATTTTACCCTCTCACTGGAACATGGTTGTGATCCAGTTTGCCAGAACACTGCATGCAGAGTCCAGGCCTTTGCTGTAGAGAAGGTGCTGTAGCTCAGGGGGAGCAAAGTTGCGCCTTGCAACTCATATCCTAGACAAAAATCTTTAAAGCCCTACCACACAGAAGTCCATGTTAAACAAGCCTCCTTAAACAAGTTTGTGGGGTGGTATTGCCTGTGCTTCTGCCCTTCTCCATGGTAACACCCAGGAGGTAGGTGAAGGGGAGTTTGTGTCCAGATCAGGGCTTCTGCCAGCCGAGGCAGCTTTTACCTCTTCTGGTAGCATGTTGATGAGTGCAGTTCATTTTGTGCAGCACACAGGCTTTGCTCTAGTAGAATTGCAGCAGTTTTGTCCAGTCATGCCTCTATTTGTGTCTGATCCCTACCTCCACATTCTCCTCCCAGCTAGTCCAAGTGCAGGGTGAGTTTAGTCCAATGAACTGCTAAAGGCTTGCTGTGTTCCTCTTGTGCTGATGGTGAAGAAGAAAAAAAAAAAAAATCTGCTGGTTTGGGGCAAGAAGCTTTATGTGAATAATAAGTATACGTGTGTTTTTTTTAAATGCCTGAAACCACATTTGTGTATGTTGTTCAGCACATGTATCTTCCTTTGAATTTCAGTGGGTCTTCTGTCATTTTACCTGCTGCAAAGGAGCCAGAGTTCACAGGGCTGGCAAAGGGCAAGCATCCGTGCCTGCTTGAAATTTTAGCTAACCTACATCACATTTGTTCTAATGACAACTGATTAAATTCTTTACATGACCATAAAAATATGTTTCTGCATCAGCCAGAATAATTAGCCAGAATGTGTCTGATTTGTTCACTAAATAGCACAATCAGAGCATTGACCAGAATATAAAGAAATGAAAAAGAAATCAATTAAAATATAGCAGAAGTTACGTAGCTTCAAATTTTTCTCCTGCTATTTTTGATGAAGGCCACCCACTACCCCCCCATATGTATTTAGAAATCTGTTTAGAAATGAGAATGTTTTTCTTTCACACACCAGTAAGAATTACTCAGATGAGACTGGATAGTACCTTACAAGATTGTCACATGGTGTATAATACTTAGTGTGAATGTGCACCCTTCCTGGGATTGGCAAGGTAAGCTGTAGTAAAGCATTGGGTTCAAATCTCTTGGAAGTACAGCATGGCTGGACTTTGTAGAGATTTGCTGTCTCATCAGAATGGACTTGGAGAGAAAAATGTGCCCAGGAGCATTTTCTAAGTCAGAAGAGCTTGGTGTCAGGCTGAATGAAAACAGGATTCATGCAGGTGCATTAGAGTCTGTGCAAGGAAGATGCCTCCCTTCCAAAAGGAGGGATTGATTGTATGATTGTAGTTGGGTTTAGCACACCCTTCTCATTGCCTGGCAGCTGGATTGCACAACAGGGTGAGCTGGTATTTACTGAAGTCACCTTGGGAAAACAGCCAGTGTTACTCTCAGGTGGTGTTCCTGACACAGGGGTGTCCTGCCAGAAGTCAGTGTGGAGAGATGTGGGCACAGGGTCAGTGCAGAATCCTAATGGGGTCCTTTCTCCCCTGGCTCGATTAATTTGAGTTGAAACAAATTAATCAATTGTGCAGACAGTTAAATTGTCATCAGTAGTCTTCAGAGTAAAGAGATTAAATGTGAACTTAACAGACCTGTACAGACAGCACAGGGCTGAGCTCTTGTTGCTGTGTATTGTGCATGGGCAGAGGCTGGGGTGGTACAAATCTGCATAGCTCCACTGGCAGGAGAAAGAGAAAGCCAAAAAAAAAAATAAAAAATACATAGAGTTACATGCTCCTATTTGTCTAGGAGCATCTGGGATAGTTCATCTTACATTTGGTGAAGAATTGCTTCTAAAAGAGCATGAGCTTTTTTTTTCTTTTTTATTCCCTGCTGGCTGTGGGTGGGACTTGAGCTGTAAATGCAAACGTGATCTTAACCAAAATGCATTCTTAACTCCATCCTTAGTTGAAGCAGAACATGATGTAATAGAACTGAAAGAAATCCACAATAAGTATTAATTATAATAATAATAATTCTTATTACAAGGAAGGTTTTTTTTGAGGTGAAAACAAGCAAACACTGGAACAGCCTCTGCAGAGATGTCGTGGAGTTCCCATCACTGGAGGTTTGCAAGATGCAACTGGACAGGGCACTAAATATCGAGGCTCCCTTTCCTGTGAAAGGTTGGACCAGATGATCTTTCAAGATCCTTTCAAATGGAGCTGTTCTTTGGTTTTATCATTAATACTCCAGCACTGCTCATCTTAAAGTCTCAGCTCACTAAAACTAAGGTCCCAGATGAGCCTGAAGGTAGTTGTGCTTTATCTCCGTATTGTAGATCTTTGTTGACCAAAGTCAGGATGGAATTCAGTGGAGGACAAAGGATTTAACTCAAAACATGCCTAATAATAAGAGTAGGACCTGTTATTGGGTAGAGCCTGCCAAGGTGACTTGTTTGAAGATCCTTGCAAGTAACTGCAGTCTTCATGGTGGTTTGAACTGGCCTCTCTTCCCACATGGCTGTCCTGAGGTTAAACTAGACCTTCTCCATACACAAAACCCTGCTTACCTGTAGATCAGGACAGCATTGGGAGGGAGTAGAAAACTCATGGTGACAGTCTAGAAAAATGGCATTTTCCCTGTAAAACTAGCAAATATTGTTTTAGAAACTTGAATGTTTAATTCTAAGCTTACTGTTTTGTCTTTTATGTTCACAGGTATATTTGGAAAACTATAATTCTGGGCCAGGTGCTCTCCATGTTTATCTGTGGGACTGCTGTTACAAGTCAGTACCTGGCAGAAAAATACCAAGTGAATACTCCAATGTTGCAGAGTTTCATCAACTATTCTTTGCTGCTTCTAGTTTATACAACAATGCTGGCATTTAGGACTGGTATGTGAAATACAGGATGGGAGATTCTGGTGCATCTTTTTCTCTTTCTACATTTTCCTTTCAGAAAATAGACTTCAATACTCATCCTAGTTTTTGAAGTTCCTGCTTTATAGCAACACATGGAAATTAATTTCAAGGTTAAATATGCATTTAACTTGATATAATTCATATCTGTTTCACATTTTGTGCTCTTTGGTTTGAAGTTTTGTGTTATATTAGGAAAAATAAGCTTAGTTGTAATATGCTTTGTTGCCAGAGGCTATTTAGTATTCCTCCTATTCTTATTAATTTCCTCTTTAGGCAACTCTGGTCTTGCTGTGTTTTTCTTCATGTGGAAGTATTTCTATGGTTTTCACCATTACATTATCTCCTCCCAGGCTGTGTTTCCTGTTATTGTATCTTAAACAGCGGCAGGCAAAGTCAATCTTGATGTTATTTATGCCTCTAAAAAGCAAAATTCCCATGCAACATTTGGTTGGAAAGAAACAAATATTGATTGTTGCTTTCTTCTAAATAGGCAGTGGCAGTCTTTGGCAGATTTTGAAACAGAAATGGTGGAAGTATATTTTTCTGGGACTGGCTGATGTTGAAGCCAATTATGTGATGGTAAAAGCCTACCAATATACAACCCTTACAAGTGTGCAGGTAAGGACTGAGCTCTCTTTTCAAACTGTTGCTTTTATTACAGTTTTGGACTGGTTTCTAAAATGAGATTCATAGGACAGACATGGAAGCTATTTAAGCCTGAAAAGAACTTTCCAGTATCTATTTTCTCTCTGCAGTACAGGGAAGAGCATCCTGTATCATGAAAACCTTTCCAGGAAGCAGAGAAGATTGACTGGTATTACCCTGTGCCAGCTCTTGAGTTGAACCCTAATTATTTTGATAAAAGCACTTCTGAGAGTTTGCTGACAGCCACACAGTTTTTTCTCCTGACACAAAATTAAGATTTATGACCAGATAACAGTCACTGAGTGCAGGTTCTTGCTGATGACAGTGAGGTGGATCTCTTGCCTGGTCCTAGAAGCTGCGGTAGGCATTGTGAGATGTAACCCTGCCTGTGAGGACACACTGAATGCCAGCTGGTGTTTCTGTCCATGCTGTGAGGGACCAGCCTTGCAGCTTTTGGATGTGGCAGTTCAGGGCCTTCTCTGGAAGAGGTGGAAGGAAGGTCAGCACAAATAAAGTAATGGTAGATATCCTCTGCAACACCAGTGCTTGATGCTGCATTAGGATAAATCTTACGTTCTGAAAAAGCTCTGTAAACAGAAGGGCTAAAGCTGGGGTTTCTTTGTCACCCCTACACAGACAAAAGCTGCTGGAAGAGTCAGTGCTTTTCTCCTACCTCCAGCTGCAGCCTCCTGAGCTTGCAGGACCAAGACTGACTCAGAACACTGAGCAAAGTGGGAGTAAACCCTGCCTTTGGCTGTACTGTTGGTGAGCTGTGTCAGGCCCAAGTTAACTCATTGTGTGACTTCACAGCTCCTGTGGGAACAAGGGAGAGGATGTTGCATGAGCAAGTAGGGAGTGTGTCCAGGTTGTGCCAGTTCATGCCTGCTGTTAATAGTGATGGGAACCTGTGGCTGGGGTCATGGTCCCACTTACCTAAACTAAAAAAAAAGTAACATAAAGACTTGGCTGTTTGTTGGAAAGGAGTGTTTAGGTGTCAGTGTTTTACAGAGTCAAAGTGATAGGGGTTAATATTTAAGAGAATTACCTGTAAAGCAATAAACTCTTGCTCTTGCGGTCTGGGCTCCCTTTAGGGAATTGCAGTAAACTTTCTTTGCGCTGCTGAAGATCGGTTGTGTCTCTTGGGTTGTTTTGTCACATTTCCAGTTCATACTTATGTGTTATGACTCATTAGGTCTTTAATCTCCTTACAAGTAATGCCTAAGAAATCCAAGTTTTAAGAGTGACTTGTTTCAGTCTCAAGATCAAACTGGTGAGACGCTGTTTGACCTTGTACTTTACAGCTGAACAAGCCAGGACTTTGATCCAAGTACTCAGGACTAGTAAAGCTATTCCCATGATTCCTTTCATAGGAATTAAGAAAGAATAGATACAATAGATTATCCTGTCCAGTTGCCAAAAACTCAAGCATTTTCTGAGTCTTTTTCTGTTGTGGTAGCCTTGTGACTGATGCTGCTTTGTGTCAGTTCAGTAATTAAGATTTTGTTGCAATTGCCTGTTGTCCTGAGGTTTCTTGCACATTCTCTGAAGACACCAGTTTCTCACCATTGTCAGATATGAGATACAGGAAAAAAAAACAAAACCAAAAGCTCGTAATTTCATCTAGTGCAAGGCATTTTCTTTTTGTTTTTGGCAAGCAATTTTGCAGCTACTTCAGTACCTGTGGTTCAGTGCACCCAGCCTGATGGCCTGTCTGCACTACTGGCTGTTAGTGGATGCCCAGGGACCATAAAAAAACCACAGGGGTTTATGGCACCTTCCCAAGCGCAGTGTAATCATTGTTCAATGATTGAACAATGTCTGGCTGGAGCTTCAGCTCACCACTATGAAATGTAGCTTCAAAGATAATTTCTTTTCAGCTCAGCAAGGAACTTCCATGTATTTTCTCTCTCACACACACACAGAGACACAGAGGCAGAGCTGGCTTCCCCTTAGTTATCAAATACCAGCATTTTACTGGAGGGGTTTGGAGATTTTTAAGGCGATTACAGTGGGATGGCAGCTCTCATTTTTTGGTAAATACAGAAGAAGACTTTGGTCCACAACTGAACTGTTTGGCTGTGGCTGAGGCAGTGCCAGTATACTCCTTGCTGCCAATATCCTTTTTTCCTGTGACAGGGCTTGACTGTGCTGCAGTTTGACCTTCTATTATGGCATGAAGCTAAGTTGGGAGAGGTTCTTCACTCAGAGGGTGTTTGGGCACTGGAACAGGCTCCCCAGGGCAGTGGTCACAGCACCAGCTTGACAGAGTTCAAGAAGCTTTTGGACAACAGGCACATGGTGTGACCCTTGGGGTATCCTGTGCATGGCCAGGAATTGGGCCTAAAGATCCTGGTAGGTTCCTTCCAACTCAGGATATCCTGTGATAATAATTCTGTGATCTATAGCAAAAAAACCAAGCAGTATAGCTGTGGTTTGTTTTTAACGTGTTATTTGGCACATTTAGCATTCACTCTGTAGATAATTCAGACAGAAATGTTTTTTGGGCAACTATTGACAGATTGTCAGCTGATGGAAGAGTGCTAGCCTCAATAGGAGAAAATACAGGATGAGCTCCTGGGGCTCAGCTGGAGGCTGCCCTGAGGGAGCCTAGTGGGGAATCAGCACAATGAGCAGTTGAGCTTTCTTGCTTACAAAGCTGTCTGAAGCTGGCAATTATAAGCAAACCAATGATCTCCAACTGTCTATGATAATTTATTAACCATGTATTAAAACATCTTTTAATAATTTACCCTACTTTTAAAACCTCTCATAAACAGTGTGGCCAAAATATGGCTTGAGTCAAAACATTGGTAAATCAAATCCCCCTTGTTAAAAATACAGGCTAGAATTGAGTAAGATGAGAGTTTGAAGAGGCTCTACTGGAAATGGTAGTCAGTACCACAGTACTGCTGTAAATGTTGTAAAACCTCAATAAATGAACTTTATTATTTTAATTGGTTCCATTGATACAATTCATCGTGATATTACATCTGCTTTGCACCTCTTTGATCTTGATCCTGTGCAGAAGACCTCTGTAATGTACTAGATGAAGGGAAAGTACGATCCAGTAGTTGGAAATCTGATTTCATCTGTCTGTAATGGAGGATAATTGTCTCCTGGAAGAGATTACCAGAGTGTGTTCTTCATCATTTGGTGCCTGTGTGTCCTGGCTGCAAGTCCTCTAACCATGGTGCTGTGGTTCTACAGTGTGTTCTTGGTCTGGATGCAGCAATTCCCCATCTGGCATTACTGGAAAAGCTTCTGGCTCATTATGTACTACTCCCTTACATCCTAATTAAGATTTTTTTAAAGGCTTTCTTTCTGATTGGGTTGAAAAACTGCTTGGAGGTTGGAAGACTACATGCTGACATCTCAGTTAATGGAAGTAAAAGCTTACTTATTAGTAGAAGAGGTGTCTACCACCAGAGGGTTAAAATTTTTGCTTTATAATGCTTGTAGTATTTCTTGTTGTTTGATACTAATCAAAACAGTAAAATTTAAAGGAAACGTTAGAGATTTTCTTGAGTCTAGACTAATGATAACATAGAGAACAATACCTGTGACAAGACAGAAAGTCACAGTGTGATATTTTGTATGGTGTAAAGAAATTGCATGGTGTATTGAAAGACTTGGTATCACATATTGGGACTTAGGTAGTTGTAATGCCTGATAATACAGCCTGAAGTATTTTTACACTCCATAGACTTTACAAACTGGACAAGCTGTAGGCAATCCAAGGAGCAAAGACAAATAGATGGAAGGATTAGAGGCACTGTTAGGATTTAATCTTTAACAGCTACTCTTAGCACTATGCTTGTAAGACTTTACTATGTATAGTTATGAACAAGTAAAACCAGACTTACCATCAAAATGTTAGCAAGTTTGGTTGAAGCCCTCGTGGACAATGGCAGAGCACAGAAGTTGACTGCAGTGGTGCACTGAGGCAGGCAGAGTCTGGAAATGAACGTTAAGAACTAAGAGCTCTGATTGCAGGGATTATGTCCCAGTCCTACTGATCTGGACATATTTTGTTTGGGCTTCAAGAGGCCAAGTTTTAAGGGCTGACATTTGAGAGTTAATTTCTGAGGAATCTTTGGGAAGTTGACTATATGTGCTGCTCTAGGCTGTTCCCTTATGTAGTTCTGTGGCACTCTACTGAGACAGTCAGAAAAGACACATTTTCTTTCCTTTGACAAATTCAGAAACAAAATCTATTTAATTGAATTAAATATTAAACCAATTATGATTAGCACAATGGTCTTGATGGTATTTGGTTATTTTAGATGAATATACCTGTTTTATGATGCAGTGTATATTCTTCTGTATTAAGTATACAGCTAACTCTTGATACTTCCTGTACTAAAGAATAGGTGAAAGATCCTTGGAAGTGTCCAAGGCCAGGTTGGAGTGGTTGAGTGGAAGGTGTCCCTGCCCATAGCAGAAGTGTTGGAACTAGATGAACTTTAAGGTCTCTTCCAATCCAAGCAGTTCTGTGATTCTATGGGTGGGTTTAACAGCGAAGCAAATATATATATAAACATGAAGAGAAAAAATAAAGAATTTTTTTTTTCTTTAGAAATTCAGAGATTTACATGTGTACATGAAGCCCTAGGGAGCAATGCTGTTTCAGAGCAACATTCTAGCATTCATTTGTGAAGCTGCAAAGATTGATTAGATCCATCATTAGAAGAGTTTCTAAATCAGTGATTTCCTACCAAGAGAAAGTGGACCCCTGCTCCAGCTCCTCCTTCACTTGCAAAATGCTTTTAATGGTTAAATGTGGGGTCTCACCCCTCTCTTAAACAAATCATCTGGGGCTGCTTTGCAGGTTTCCATAACATCTGATGATTGGAAGTAAGATCCTGTGCATTTGCTTTCAGGATGTTGCAGTCCAGATTTGGGGTGGGTTTCTAACTCAAACAATTTTTCTGTACACACAGCTCCTGGACTGTTTTGGGATTCCTGTGCTGATGGCTTTGTCGTGGTTCATTCTCCGAGCAAGATACAGGCTGATACATTTTCTTGCTGTTGCCATCTGTTTGCTGGGTGTGGGAACAATGGTGGGTGCAGACATTTTGTCAGGGAGGGAGGACGGTGAAGGTAAGAAGTCCTTTATTCTGCGGGGTAAGGGCAGAGAGATGGTTCCTGCTGTGGACAGGAACTTCTAAAGCAGAAATAGTAGCAGATACAGTTCTGTTTTAAAAGAGAACATGTTGCTATTTTTATTTCTTGTCCAGGAAGAGGAGTTGTTGATTTTTTGGGGAGCTGTGGAATTTCTTTGCTTGTATGTTTGGATATTTCTTCCACCTTAAACTGCTGGCAGCCAGACTTCTCTGATTTTCAGTTTTCTCTGGCTACAAGTACCACATAAAAATTTGCTCACAACAGCTGACTTCTCAGAGTTCTCTTTGGCAGACCCAACAGAAATGGTCCATGTGTCCCCAGGGTCACAGTCTGGAAAACAGGGGCTTGCTGTGGGAGTGCAAGAGGAGGTGGGGCTGGATGCCAGGATTCCTGGGACCTCTCTGGGGCCTGGAGTCAACAGATAAGGGCAGGTCTTGTCTTCTCCATGACAGAAGCCTAAATCAACCCATATCACAATGACCTTATTTTGAATAGGAATTTTGAATTTTCAGAGCCTGAGGGTATGAGAGAAGGTAAATTTCAGGGCATTGCCTTCATCAGGCAGCACAGAGATTAGACTGTGTGGTGTTATTTTGGGGCCTTACTGTAGGCAAGACAAGACAAACTGAAGTTTAGCTTTACTGCTATGTGGTATGAGTAGCTTGGAGGGAGAATATTTCCCTGAGACATTAGGCAGTTGTGCTTTATATGCTGACCTGGGGATCCTTACTGCTGCTTACCCTCATATTTTAAACATAATTTCTTAGTGATTGCTTAGGGAAGGAAATTTTAAACCAATCGAAGGATTTAAACAGCAGTGATCCTCTTGTTATTTAGCTGATGCACAGAGACATTTAATGATGAGTGATTGTAGCATAGGGAGTCCCATGTGCAGTATAAATACGCTGCTGCAGGACACATAGAACCACCCAGCTACAGGGCCCACTTAGGACCTGAAAAGCTGAAACTGAGTCTGGGTCCCTCCAAAATCAATAGACTGATTTTAGCAAGCCTTGAATCAGGTCTTACTGCAAAACTGGGGACAATATTCTTGAAATGCAGTGAGCATCTGTAACTCTCATCCCCTCTAACTTTAGGGATTTTGCTCAATTCCCTGCAGTGCCTGAGGTCAGCAGTATTTGGATTGGACCAGATGATACAGGAGTGTCTTGGCTGGGATGAGATGTAAATGCTGGGTTTAGCTCACTCCACACCGTGCAGGGTGAGCTGAGCAGGCAGCAGAGCCTGCTCAGACACTCCTCTGCACACACAAGGAAGGGTTTCCTTCCCCCACTTCCCCTGGAATGAGCTAGGAAGATAGAGATGTTCAAGATAAACTTGCTTGCTTTTTTAAGGAAAGTTAAAAAGTGTTTGCGGCATTACCCTTATTGTGGATTAATATTTCTGTACAGGTAGTGACGTGGTGATTGGAGATGTCTTAGTGCTTCTTGGTGCTTCTTTGTATGCCATTTCTAATGTGTGTGAGGAATACATTGTGAAAAATCTGAGCAGAGTGGAGTTTCTAGGAATGGTGGGCTTGTTTGGGACTATTATCAGCGGTCTACAGCTGTAAGGATCTAATATTTATTTTAAAACTAATTAAGAATATACTATAGATGATTGCTTGTATACCCTGAAATGATGTTATTAAATTCCTTGTTGCATCTCTGTTTGGCCTATATGGGAGTCTTTCCACTTGAATTGATTTTTGTTGCTGATCAGCTTCTGTTTTATATCCATTTCATTTGCACTACTCCTATTGCAGCAGTTCTAAAGCTGAACTCCTGCAGTTGAACACGTAGGATACTTGGCTGTATTTTTGATTTTGCTGATGTTTGTGAGGACACTCAGTATCAGCTGAGGACTGTTCATAGGAATATATTTCTTAATGGATTTTCTCTGTGGAAAAGATTAGGAAATAATTGTTAGCAGGAGATTGTCCATAATAAACTCAAGTCTAAAATGAAGCCATGTATACTCTTACAAATAACCACATTGGAGTAACAGACTAGATGCACTTAAGTCTGTCTGATGAATTATATATCCTCATTTTCTCATCATTATAGTCAATAATTTCCTCAAATGGTATATAAAATAAAACTGAATTACTGACAGATTAAAACACCTGTGAAGAAGGCGTAAGAATTAAATAACAGTGCTCTTGACTTTCAGGCACTTTAATTTTCATTGTCTTTTTTCATGCTTGTTAGATATTTGAGCTAGTATCACTCAGTAAAATTTGAAACAAAAAAAATGAATGGCTTATAAATCAAAATGTTTCTTATATATTTGGTAATTGAATTCTCTATTTTGATATTTTTTTATTTTTTACTGTATTATATCTTTTCTCTAACTCTAGAGCCATTGTGGAACATAGGGAGCTAATGAGAATTCAGTGGAACTGGAAAGTTGGTATGTTTATGACAAAATAATGTGCATATTACAGAACACTGGAAAATAAATAATCATTTAGACAATGGTGGGGCTTTTCCTTTCTTTCTCTGAATAAAAAGCAGCATGAATATTATATTTCACAAGTTTATTTGCTTCAACATTTGCAGCTCAGCAAATAGAGAGGGTCTGCAGGATTGAACATTAAAATAGGTTTTGCATTTTACATATAACTTGAAATAATTTTTCAAAATAAATTGAAATAAATGAAAATGAAACCTGTTTAATTACTTTGTGCTTGTCATTGAAACACATCACAAGATCATTTTTCTGTTGTCCTTCCAAAATGAAGTACAGGAAAAACTGACACATTTTGACATGAACAGAACTAAATGCTATCAATAAGCGTGGCTCTAAATTTCTTCTGTCTGCTCTTACGTTATGTAGGACTTTCTTGTATAAATACAGTAAATCTTGCAATGCAAGGTAATCTTCCATGCTTCTCTTACATATACAATCCCATATCTTTTAGGAGATAAAAATGCATAGTTTTAAAGCATCTGAAGAATATCAGTGCTCTATAAAATCATAGTTCTGTGCCTGAGGAGTGACTTGTCCCCTTGTTTCACAGCACTACTGTTCACAGCCTTTGCCCTGTGCATGTTTGGGCTGTACAGCTTCATGCCGGTTGTGATTAAAGTTACCAGTGCAACCTCCGTCAACCTGGGGATCCTGACTTCAGATCTCTACAGTCTCTTCTTCGGGCTTTTCCTGTTCTTGTACAAGGTGAGTACATTCATTCCTTCGCTTTCACATTCTTTCAGTGATGTTTCTACACCAAAATTATGAACAAAGCATAATGTTCTTGAAAGCCCTGGAACAGTCATTGGCACCTGCCCATTTCTGCAGCGTCTGTCATTCATTTTTGGCAGGTGTCAGTCAGGAGGAGTTCTGTTAGTTAATGACAGAGCCTCACACCATTAGCCAGAGAGCCATTTTCAAACCATTTTACACTTGAAGGAATAAGTTAATGGTAAGAGATAGTAAATGATTTCCTGAGGTGTTCCAATAATAGAGTTTTCACTGAAAGCCCTTTGTGGAACTGTATGTTAGATCTGGTTCATTACTCCAGGTGTCCAGCGAGGGGTTTTCAATCGCCCTGTCCTGAAAGGCATTAGGTGTCAGAAAGAGGACCAGTTTGGTTTTCAGAAAATAATATTTTCTTTCAGAAGTTTAATCTGTTCATTACCAACATTGGGATGAGAATCAAGCTGTCTTAGAGGTGCTGCTAAGGAGAGACTCAAGGATCTGGAAAAAATACAGATAAATGTACTATTCTGTACATTCTCCACAAGGCAATTACTTTTATTGTGCTCTAAATATTTTTGGCAGTGTCTGATCAAGCTAAATGACAGTGCTAAAAGGATTTGTTTCCAGCCTCCACTTTTCATCCAGAATCACTTGTGAGAACCTAGCTCATTAAAGTAATTGGAGTAATTGAGTCAGCCGCTCAGTGAGTGGAAGAACTGAGTGAGAAGCTTGTGAACTTCACTTAGGAACTTAATTTGTATTATTCCATGTGGTTGCTTTCTCTTCATCCAGAAGCTTTTAGGTCAGATTTGTTTTCTGAAAATGAAGGCAGTGTAGAGTCTGGTAATGGTAGCTGATAGGTAATGGTAATCTGACAGCAGCTGGATTTTCCTTTTCAGGAGTCTCTTAGCTCAGCTTTCCTCCCTGTTTTGGGTTCCAAACTACAAAGCATCCATTAAAAATGAATGCAGGAAGCAAACCATACTTACGGTCTAACTTAAATTAACTAATTAAATCCTTTCTAAGTCACTTCCAAATGTGGATTTTGACACCGAGATAGCTTAACTCAAGAAGTGATTATAAATTTATATTCGTAATAGTGAAGAGGAAGAAGAGCTTTGGAAGGAATATATTGAATTTTTATTTTTCAGGTTTTTAGCTTATTTTTGGAAGAGGTTTTTTTGGGAGCAGGCCATCTCATAATTGCTAACAGCAAGGTATTCTGGTACCAAAAGGAAAAATGAATAGGCAGAGACTTTGGGATTGTGCTGAGAGAACTTCAGATATTTATTGAAATAGGAACATGCATCTGGGGTTAGAAACAATGAAGTAACGAAAAGGGGAGCAATAACAATGCCACATCTTTCATAATCAGAGTATCTGAGATAAGTTATTATCTCACCTGTTACCTGGGATAACCAGGAATGGAGAGAGTCTAATTTTGACATAACTCTTAGCAGCAGAAAATCTCACTGCCAAGTTAACCATATAGTTTCTTTACCTACGGGGCAAAGAAACCAAGTAAGATGTTTGCTGGATTAAAAAGCACTCTGGGCACAGGAATCTACAAGCAAAAGTACAGGGAATTGCTCTGGATTCCCTGTTATCATGTGATACTTCACAACAAGCTTCTGGAGGCATGGCTGGGCTGTAGAGTGGAGAGAGCCACAGAGAGGTCTGAATTGCCATGGTTTGAGCCTGCTCTGAAACAATCAAATGGAAGGACCACAATCAGTGGCTACAGCAGAGACCAGGCCCAGGAATTGATAAAGTTTTGACTTGTGCACAGTCTTTTGCTAATTCACTTAACTTTTCAGCCCCAGCCATGTCCGTTTTAAATGAAATGTGAATTTTTCATGCCTGTTTTGAACTCTTTAATATTTTTTCCTTTTACTCTGTAATGAATCCTTGCTGTGCTTCCTAATGAACTCATTATATAGATACCTGTAATCCCTCAAGAGATATTGAAAAAGATCTTCACATGCATTAGTTGTATAAATCGCTGTAGAAGGGAGTATACTGCAGAAACAGACACTAGATGGTGGTACAGACCTCCAGTAACATTTAAAGTACTCTCTAGGCTCAGCAGTGGGAATGAGGGTATCAGCTGCACAAAATACGATTGAAATCAGTCTCTGAAACAATAAAGTTGTTGCAATATTTGAAATTAAAAAAAAAAAAAAAAAAAAAAAAAACCCAGGAAAAAACCACTGAGTTCTCCTCAAAAAGAAAAAAAGAGAGTGTAGGCCTGATGGAGCAGCATGGGTAATGCTCACCTGTGTCAATAAATCCAGAAGTACAGGCAGGCCTTGAGTCACAGCTACACTGCAACAGCTTTGGCACCCTGCCTGGTAACTGTATCCGCTCCTGGAGGAATTGCCTCATCCGGATCAGAGACACCTCCAGCCTTGTGGGCACTGCACTGCGCTGTGAGAGGGGTCTGCCGTTGCTGTGACTGCACAGCCACGGGTCCTTGCACACACTCACTCAGGGCCTGAGGCTGGAGAATTTGTGCAGGTGGTTGGACACCAGGCTCTGCCCATTAGCTGGGAACAGGTCAGCGAGAGGTATGACCACGGGGGATCCTGCTGCTTCTGGTGGGGTTATTCAGAGCTTGATGCTTCCTCCTGTGGGGAGCGAACATTCGGATCCAAGCTCCTCCAGGCAAGCAGCCACCAAGGTGAGGAGGGAGGGCACTTAACACAAGGCTACTGTGTTTCAGCCTGGTTTTCCTTTTGTGTGTTGCCATCCAAGTGCTTCCAAGCCAAGTGACTGCCAGCTAGGAATTGCGATGCCTTAATTGTAGGTGCCTCAGTCTTTTTTGGAGAAAGTTCACTGTCTAGGTCCTGCCATTCATTTCATCCTGATAAACATATTTTTCAAGCATGTCTAAGAAAGCTAAAGAAGTTAGAGGATATTGAGGATATAGAGGATAGAGGTGTGTAGGATATGCTGTGTCCTTCTTCCTAGTGTTTAATCAGTGTGGTTTGACAAAGGGAGTTTGGAGGATTTTAATAAACATGCTGAAAAGCGTTCCTGGATGTGGATAACTTCAACACTTGGTATTATTGAATCTGGTATTATGAAGTAAGTATTTGTCTTTCTGTCAAGGTGGATGAATCTTGGCAATTACTGTAATTTTAACAGGCAAGTGAACAATAGAGTTCCTGATGTACCTCTGCAATTTGTATTCTAGCTCTCACCACTCTTCACAGCTTGCAAATGCCTATCTTGTAAAAGGAGCCCCAGCCTCTGTTCCCTCAAGGACCTGTTTGGTGTAGAGAGCAAACTGGTTTTGATCCAGTAATAGCACTTATGTAGCCCTGCAGATGGTTAGGAAATCTGTGCAGAGAACCAGCTGCTCTGGTGACTTGCAATAGCACAGTGATTCATCTCTTGCCAGAACCTGAAATACTTGCATGTGCTGGATCAAAATTCTCTTATGGGTAGAATGTTTCAGTATTCATGTGTGTAAAGAATTTTCATTCAGTATAACTGTGTTTACACCATTTGTTCTCTCTATTAAGATTCTTGTATGTAGACCCAAGGAAACTCCCTGTCCAACAGTCTTGGGAATGAGATGCAGAGAAAATCAGCCAGTGGCCCAAGTCTTTAAGTAAATAGAGCTGTTGAATTTCAGTTTTCAGACCTGAAAGGGTAGCTTTCACTGATGTCTAGAGAAGGCTGACCTAGAACAGAGGCTAGACAGAGTTAAGAATAAAGTAGGTATTTAGTGAAAGTCTTTAAAGGATACGCCTTGGGCAGTACAAGGGCCTGGCCAGGCTACATGCAAGATGGAGCTAAAATGGTCACAAAATGGGAAACTGGTCACAAGGTCTCACATTTTTATAGGTTTTGGTCCATCTGCATATTGGGGTTAATTGTCCAGTTAGAGCTTCAGGTTATGAAGTCACATCCTCTTTGTTTTCTCTCTTCAGTCCACTGTTGTTTATGCTTTTGGGGCTGAAACCTGTAACAGTTGTCCTTGGTATCAAACTAGAAGAGGAATTGTTCTGTGTACCTACTCTGTGAAGAGATCTCAATAACACTTCATATGAAGCTCAAAACTGCACACCTAGGCAGCACAGAATCTGAAAAATATGAAAGCTAAACTTAGGGCATCATCATGTCCTTGAAACAAGGCAGCATTGGCATGTTCTTGATACCAGGCAAGACTTAACGCATCTCTTTCTCTCCTCTGCCAGTTTTCAGCTCTTTACATCGTGTCCTTTGTTGTCATCATCGTGGGCTTCATCATGTACTGCTCCACTCCTACTCGGACGGCAGAACCCACGGCCCTGCCGCAGCCCAGCAGCACCGGCCTGGACAACGCTGCCCTAAAGCTGGAGGAGAGCGACAGCGAAACCCCAGCTGTAACTGTGCAGTTCACAAGAGGAGAAACGGTGGTGGTCAGCACTGATTAAAGAAATGGCAGCACTTCAGAACAGAGCTTTTTTTTTTAATTGCCAAATTTCCCTCAAATATTAATCCAGAGAACTATCCTACTGCCAAGGCACATGTCACACTGTGCTGGGTTTAATGCACTTGATAGACTTTTAAGGCCAGATCCTCAGTCAGTGAAGTTGCATTGATTTGCCCTTCCAGAAAATCTGGCCTTTAGACAAAGACAGATTAGTATTTATGTGGAGTCTCTGGAAAGTGAGAGACTGTTATTTTTAAGTGCTTAATTAACTTAACAACAAATGCTTGGGGAAAAAAACTAAGCCAAAGTGAGCTCCCAGGTCACTTAATAAGGAGCAAATATGTTTTATATTGCATTAGGGACCTAAATCTACACGATGCTGTCTGAGGGCTTCATGGTTTCCACCCCTCAGTGCCGGATGCCCTCAGATAGCATCTTGTAAAAGCTGCTCAGCTTCTCGCAGGACCTGGTTCTGCAAGCCATAGTTCATTCATACACCTTCTATGTGCCAGTGGACTTCATTCCTCTATGGAAGGATTTGCTGCCTACATTCCAACCTCTAATGTTCGTCTCTTCATATTGCTGCACTCCCCGTCACTGCTGGGGCTGCTACATGTGTTTTATTTTGAATTTTGTTAGTATGGGAAGTTTGAATATGTGTTTTTGTAGTTCCTCCTGTTTCTCTCTCTGGCCTTTTGTTCAGTGCATTCCCATTAGCTGTGGGGGAGTCAAAGGTAGGCTTTTCCTCTCTTTGGTAGAACTGAAAGTTGGGGGTTTTTTTTCTGGATGAGAAAGCAAAAAGGTTTGAATGGAAGTTCACTTCTCAGTGAATTTCTCCCTGAAACAAGACACATTTCTGCTGAAAAGAGTTGTAATAAAATTGGCATTTCTTCAAAAAATTGAATCATCTAAGCCAACTCTCATGGCAACAGTAACAACATAATATCCAAAAGGTTAGGTGCTTTTAGTAGATACACTGGCAATTTTCCTACCGCTCTTTATATTTACAACAAATGTTTGAAAAATATAAGGCTGCAGTTTTAAGATCTGTAAAACCATACTGGGGTTTTATTTTATTATATATTTTGTACAAGCCTTCAGAGCTCAGGTGTGTGAAGTAAAAAAAGAATAAAGTATTTAGCAGCTGGAGAGTTGGTTTTGGTTTGCTTATTTTTTAAGCTAGGATTTCTTTACTGCTCAAAATTGTATGATTAATTTTGCCAACCAAATAATCCCCTTATTGGTTAAGCTTTGCTCTAGAAGGAAATATGATGTTTTCTGAAGGTACTGGTGATCAAATGACACAGACTCAGTTTGTTCTTCTGGTGTAGTTTATTCAAGCAAAATTTTCCAGGAAATATCTTACCTGATTATTATTTAGCAATAGGAAAACAAAGTTTCAACAGATACTATGGAAATAATCACTGCTCTTTCACTGTATAGCTCATGCACAGAAGGGTGAACAGGTGCTGATGTTATATGGAAAACATTTGGGTCCTCTCCCATGTAGAATGCTTCTTTTGAATGGGGGATGATATTTATTTTGCTTTCTAAAATGGTATTGTTTATGATCAATGTAACAAAACATAGATTTTATCTGAAAGTACATGGGAGCATGTATTGGCTCAGGCTTTGGCTGTTCTTCAAAACACAGGAGCATCTTGTGGTGTGTTGTGTATACTCAGGCACTCACACTATATATCCTCTCAATATATAGACCAATGAAGCCAAAATTGTGTAAAACATGGGTGAGATTCTAGGCACAGTCTGGATTTTTAGGTCCAAGGCTTTTAAAATCTGACTGTATTAGGAGGTTGGAATCTGATTCATGCAAACTGGGCCAGACAGGACTTCTGCTGAGCTGTGAGGGGAGCAGTGTGGGCTCAGGTCCCCCAGAATGGACACTGGGACACCTAAGTTATTTGACCCTTACATTCTGAGTTGAAAACTTTAAAACTCAGTTTCACAGATACAGGCTGTAATGTCTTACGCTGTGATTTTACCCCATGCTAAAGATTTCTTGGCCTATTGTGGGTAGCTCAGGTTCACACGTGCTAATGCCACCAAGGTCTTTCAAGCTCTCAGTGAGGACAAGGTTGATATTTTTTGTCAGTCCTGTCAGTGACTCTGTGCTCTTGCCATCCTCATGATGGATCCCATTTATCTCCTTGTGATCCTGCTGGATGCAGGGGCCTCCTCTGACAGCCTGGGATGGTTGCCAGCCACTTGCTGGTGGTCATGCACACCTAGTGACCTGCCTTTCTTCACCTTAATTTTCTACTGCATCCCTGTGGAATGGCTGGCTGGGTGGAGAGGAGGCAAAGTTGACTTGCAGAAGAGCTCTGCATCACAAACCCAGCATGTGGTGTGGTCTAAGCTCTGGGCATACGAGGCACTTGAAGTCTCATCTTGAGGAGTCCTCAGCACGAGATGCTGGTCCCTTGAACCTGCTTTGTGTGGGAGGGGGCCAGATACATCAGTTGTCCTTGCTGTCTGTGCCATGAATCAGAAGGAAGTGGGTGCAGACTGTTGAAGAAGGATGCATTGCTTCAGAGCACAAGTGACACGTGTATTGCTCGCGGGGAAACAAATGTTTGGTTAACAAATCACATATGCCAGATCCTCTGGTACCTCTGAGACAAGGTGCTTGGGTGAGTCTTTAACATAAATCTTTCTGGAATGTTGGAATAAGCTGGAGAAAAGAAAATCCATCTGTCACTTGTATTAAACACAAGAATCCAAATAGAAATGTGTGACATCCAGTCTTCCTCCAAGGTTTGGTTACAAAACAGCCGAAGTTATCTGGCTTCAAAATGTCACGGTGTGTTGGGAAGCAAGAAATTAGTGTGTCACTAATTGAGTCCTAACATATGAGGGAGAGGATGGGCTTGTGGACATCAGCTATTTTAAGGTTTTTGACCTTTTCTAGGTCGTGCATACTCAGTTCTGTATGGTGTGATGTCTGCAACAAGCACATCAGTTCTTGTCAGCACCATTCATTCACACTATTTATTGTGGGATGTTTCATTGTGTTATATAGATATGCTTGTCTTGGAACTATCTATTTCAATCAGTTTGGGAGGTTTGACAGAGAGAAGCTGCACATGCTCTGTGATCAATCATGAACAATTTTGAGCAAGCAGACAGATTCCTAAAAATGCAGAGTGAAGGATTGTGCACCTGGTTTGGTCTTCCACCAAAGTACAGCCTCCTGGCAATTTCATTGTTATACCTGATGAGAATCCAATGAGTGTGATGATCTGCAACATCACAGCTCATTGGGTTCTCATCATGTATAACATTGAAATTGTTTAACTTGATGTTTAACTTGAGGCTACACTAAGCATGCATTCATCAGACAAACAGCATCCAAGGTATTGGAACCTCACCCTCTCCAGCTCTCTCTTTGCTGTCCTCAGAAGGAGCAATTCAGCTCTCCCCTGGAGATGCCAATGTTTATTTATTGAGTTTACTTGTTTTGTGTGGAGTTAAGCCAAACCTAGAGATCCCAACCAAGTGCAATGTCACATTCTTATGGACATTGGTGTCTGTAGTAAAGGGCTATACAAACTGAAACTTCTACAATTTATTTGGGAGATGAAAGGCAGAGAGATTTTCATAGCAGCTATGGGAAGCCTGTGGCTGGTACCTAAAGTATACATCCTTCACTCTTCTTATACAATTTAATTTTTCTCTTGTATAAGAGCATTCAAGACTGAAAGTTAGATTTTACAGAAAAGAGTCAGAAGGGAAAATCTGATTTCTCGTACAACACGGGTCAACATATTGTATCTGATTGCTCATAAGTGAAAAACACAGCACTGTACCAGCTACTAGGAAGAGAATTAACTCTATCCCAGTCAAAACCAGAAAAAGGTATATATTGCAGACAGGTAGAAATACAAAAAAAAGATCTTATAAAATACATTTCAGGCCCTGCTACTCTAGAAAAGTTATCAGTAGCTTGTAAGTTCCCATAAAGAAAAATCATAAGAATGAAGGCAGTTAACACAGCAACCTATTCTAGTAAGAAAAATAAGTTTGCACCTGTTTGTCCTATGAGAATCAGTGAAGAAAATACCTAAATAATCAAAAAAATAGAGATATTTGATACAAGAGTAAAATGCCAGTTACTAACCAATGAATTGAGTAGCAAGAAAACTGCTAGCCAACTGGAGTAAAACTAGCCAAGTCTGTGAAAACTATAAAAATGAGTTATGTGAATAGAGAATTAGCTCTCCTACATGAAGAATCTTGAGTCCCATCTGCTTTATTACTGCAACAGGTATATGTTTTAGTAATGTTTCAGCATTTTTTAAAAATCTTGATACTAAATTCTCAAAGCAATATTTAATTAATCCCTTCTGGAAGTAGGGGGATTGATTTTATTTTCATGAACTGGCTTTGGATAGGTAAGGTGTGAAGGAAGTTACAGTTCTCAGAGCTTTCTGAGAGTAAACAGCCTCCAAAAGCAGGTTTCCATGCCCTTCAAGACTGATGTATTCTTGTTAAAGTGCCAGCTGGGAACAGTTATGATACTTTCATCTTAAATGTATGGCCTGGGCTCCCTGAACTCAGGCCCATGACATCACCCTATTCAAAATAAACTTTATTTCACCAGCTCATCTCCAGCCTGTCTCTCTGTGTTAGTACCAGGAGCAGAGCTTGTGCAGCAAGGCAGAAAGATCACTGGCACTACAGGTGAAATGTGAGTTTCATCCACATAAATCACAGTATCACAGTCTTCAGAGTACTCTGAAGGGGCAGACAACTAAATTGAGACTGCATTACAGACAACTTCCAAAGAAGGCATTAAAGAAGATGGCTTAAAAAAGAATACAGAGATGTATTATTATTGTACAAAATGAAACATTGATTTTTTTTTTTTTTTTTGAGATGTTATGATGTTTTCATAGAAATGCCAAAGTTTATTATGTACTGATGCCTGGAAACAGTGCAGTATCTCCAGAAGTACCCGTCACTGGAAGTTTATATAATCAGCAGCTGGTGGCAGTGGTTGCAGTTCTCTGGAATATTTTTGATCTTACAGCAGTCCAGGGTGATGTTGCTGCTCTTCAGCACCATCTGTTGACACTGTCTCTAATTATTTTAATTAGGAGCAGCAATCATATAGGCAAAAGTGCAGCTTCCCCAGCACAACCATGTAATTCAGTAAATGCATGACCAAGGGGGTGATTTGAAACGGGGTAAAACGCAGCAGAAAATGGCTGCACAAGAGTATGGCTGCTTGCCAGTAGTACAGAAAAAATTGGTCTTGCTTTAACAAGTTACTATTTTTTAATAAACCAGGTAACCCATCCATACACAGATCCTTGTAACAAAGTAGGGAATTTTAAATTCAAATAGCCTCAAACTAATGGGTCACCTTTCCTTGAAAATTTGACCAAAAGCCATGGCAAAATTAAAATTGACTGAGAAATCTTACTAAGAGTAAAAAAGATGCCACCAACCTCAAACAAGCCAACTCTTCATGTTCTGATAATAATATATGTATACGCATAATATCTGTGTCCTTGAAAAATCAATGAGTATTTAAAAA